GAGAAGCCAGAGGCAGAGCTCAGAGTGATGTGGCCACAAGGACTTCCAACAGCTGCAGAAGCGGGAGGAGGAAGGAGGCTTCTCCAGGGAGGGATCTCAGTCCTGCTGATAAAGTTATCTCAAATTTCTAGTCTCTGGAATGAGAGACTGAATTTCTGTTGTTTTAAACTGCAAAATTTGTGATCATTTGTTATGGTAACTTCGGAAACTAACCCACCTCAGTTGAATGTATTTCCTAGTTGGGAGCTCCAGTACCTCTTTTCCTATGGACCTCGTGATTGGCCTTACTAATAATAAACCTAAAAGAACCCTAACCTAAACCATATTAATAATTTATTATTATCGATATTTTTATTATTATTGAGGTAATGAGGATGGAATCAGGGCCTCACACATGCTAGACAAGCACTCTAGCACTGAGCTACATCCCCAGCCCTTTCTATTTTGAGACAGGGTCTCTCTCAGTTGCCCAGGCTGGCCTCAAACCTGTGATCCTTCTGCCTCAGCCTCTGGAGTTGCTGGGATTATAGACATACCCCATGACACGTGGCTTATCAATAAATGTGGTTAATGGGAATATTAGATCTCTGTTGGCAGTAACTAATTATTTTCCCAATATTATAGCTGTCTTATGAATGAACCACCATTTTCTTAAGTTTTTTTTCCCCAAAAGGAAACACCCCATTATCAGAGATAGGGCCCCATTTTGATATTCCTCCATTCTTGGCTTTGTTTTGGTAACTTTGTTTTTGTACCAAATCCACACTCGTTAATTAACCTCTCCATTTTAGAGTAGCTCAGCTTCAATTAGTAATACTATCAATAAAATTCTACTGTCTTATTATGCATTTATCAAACAGTCAACTATCTGGTCTTTTGGCCAGAATTTGTTGGCCTGTTCTCAGAGTTCTGTCTCAATACATCTTTTGAGAACTGTTTTCCAACATCGCCTTCATTTTAATTTTAGAATGTGATGTTCACCAATTTCCTAGCTCACAATTGAGGATGAACAGCTTACAGTGTTTGTGACAATATTGGATTTATGTCTTTCCAAATGAGTAATTTTTAAATAACAGCACATTGTGTTCTTGTTTGTTTTTCACAATCCAGTTTTAGCATCTGAGCAACTTTGCTTTGATGGTTGACTTCCACCAGGAAAACTAGCAAAGCAGTTGCCTTGGATGGTATTGCTCTCTATTCTTCCTGGAAGTTTTGCCTTTCCATAGTGCACAACCCTGGGCTGTACCACTTGTTTCTCCTTCCACATCTTCAGACACTCTCTTGAAAGAACCCATTTGCAATTATTATTATTCAATTTGATTCAAGAAGCATTTTATTAAATACATACAAAATGGTAGCCAGTAGAAGGGACCACCATATAGTCAGGTCATGTCAGGAGATGGGAAGGGCGGAGGGTGATGGGGCTAAGTGCCTAGAAAATCCACACTTAGGTGGAGCTGAGCCAGTGGGTTCAGATTTATATAAAAACTGAGGAATAACCTGAAAGGGAATGTTATTGGCAGATAGCCTTCTGTGGTCTTGAAGTGATATTCCAAGGGGGCTCAAGAAGTTATCCCATAACTGGACAGGGCAAGCAGGCCATTTACCACTATACAAAATAAAAATTAGGAGCTTGTGTATCATAATAACCCAGGGTTTCTGGTGGTCACTGAGTGGGAGCAAAAGGTCAGTAGTGGCTCCATGTGATTACCAGTGGAGGCCAGTTGCATTCAGATGTGTCAGTTCAATCCTATGAATGGAGCCGTTGTGTAGTGGACATGCCTATAATCCCAGTTACTCGGGAGCTGAGGCCAGAGAATATTGAGTTCAAACCCAGCCTTAGCAACTTAGTAAGGCCCTCAGCAACTCATCAAGACCCTGTCTCTATTAAAACATAAAAAAGGACAGGGATGTGGCTCGGTGTTTAAGTACCTCTGAGTTCAATCCCTAGTACAAAAAAAAAAAAAAATCTATGAATGGAAGACAGAGAAAGAGAAGAAAAGAAAAAGAACTCCAGTAATTCATTATATAACCATTAATGGAGAAGCTTAAGAGATCTTGAAATATTGTCATATGTTCATTCATTATGTAGTTTATATTTCTTTATTCCACCAGTTCTTATTGATTAAAGGAAAGGAGGATTAAGTAATTCATAAATATTACATTATACTAGAATCTTTGAGTTGCCACTATAGTTACATAATAGTGTGGGAAATAGTAAAATCATTTTTTACCAATTTGTGGAAAAGAACAAACTAAAAATGAGTGAATCAGGGAATCACTGAATAGATGAATGAGGCATTAGAATTGCAAGCAGAGGTCCCACAGTCAACTCCCTAACACATATTCACAGACAGAGCCATTCTGAGCACATAAGCACTTGGCACTGCCAAAGCCCTGACATCAGCATCAGCATCAGCATCAGGTGTGTGACAAGAAAAACTACCCTGATGCTTATCACGAGGACACCTGGGTGCTTTGACCCTGCTCCTTGTGGGCAGGATCAGTGCCTGGTGAGAAGTAGGCACAGCTGGGTATGCAGTGTTGGGCTAAGAAAAGTCAGAGAGTTTCATGGGAGGGCAACCTTGGGACCTGGTCAAGCTCATGTGGCTTAGGATGCTCCACAAAGATGGGAAACCCATCAGGCTCACATTCTACCAAGGCTGCATCCCAGAAGACAGCAGGGGAACCTGGGAGGTGACCCTGTCTCCCAGAGAGGAAGGACATGCCAGGACTTCTGGAGAGCTCATAACTGGGAAAGCATAAGAATAATGTCCCAGAATAATGACTCAATTCTGACCCCTTTGCGGGGCTTATGAGAGATGGAATTATAAGGCCTGCCCAGGGGAAGCTGTAGGATCCTCAGAAATCAACATGGTGGTGAGGAAGTCTCTTTCCTTCACAGGGACCTCGCTAAGGTAGCACTCCTGGCTTCTCCCTGTCCCCGTGCACATCTCCTTTGATCCAGGGTTGCCAGCCATGTGATAATTCTGGTATAACTGGCTCTGCCACTTCCTGTCTCCTTCTTCAAGGGAGGGAGCTGCCCACTGGGAGGGTGCATAATCCCCTGATCCCCAAGTGCCCACTCTCGGCAGGATGAGTTTCTTGTGATTCTACCACCAAACTTGGACCAACTTGGACTTCAGGTTTAATAGTTCCAACTGATACCATCATAGCATCCTTGATTCTTGTTCCCTTTTAATTCTCCTTTGCTCTTGCCTGGGCCTGAGATTTGGTTTGCTGGAAGAGAGAATACATTCACTCATTTGTTCAACCACTCAAGTGTGTGAAGTCCTGTTGTGGGTCGAGGGGATTTAAAAATGCACCCTTCTTTCAATGACCAGAAATGCAAAAATTCAGTGTAGAGAAACATGTTTAACGGTACGGACATGGTGTGGTTGTTGCACAGGGGTGTGGCAGAGGTTAATGGCCTCCTTCTTTTAAGTCTGAGCATACAAATGCTCTACCTTTCAAAGCCTACAAGTCCCAGCCTCAGTTGCAGTGAGCATATAAATTGCATAGTAATGTAGATGACATTTAATTCCTTAAAAGGAAGCCACCTGTCCTCTACTCTCTCTTCCTCTAGTCACTCAGGCGGGAACGTGGTTTGGCAAGCCAATTTCAGCCACACAGATCAGGATGATGGAGCACCAAGTGAGAAGCAGCTGGGCCTCTGGGTACCCGAGAGGAGGAACCTCCCACTGACCCCACACCACCAATCTATGTGTGAATTTTTGAGTGAAAGACAAATTATTGAGTGAAAGACAAATTGACTTCAGTGTGTGAGCCTCTGTAGCTTTGGGTCTGTGATTGCAGCAGGTTGATCTTGCTTAGCACAAGAAGGAGCTAAGCAAGTGCATGCGGTTGTGGGGTGATGGTGAGCACGGTGTGCAACAGGGGCAGAGAGTGTTGGAAGATGTATCAAGGTGAAGGCAGATGATCAGCTCTCAGTGCTTGGCCATCTTCTTGTTGACTTGGAAAATTCCCTTTCTCATTCCTTTGTGTGAGACCCAAGTGTGACCACATCACCAAGGTGGGTATTGGAAGATACTAGGGTCGTGAGATGGGATTTCCCTTGGGCTACAGGGAGACATTTCTACTGATGAGCATAGCAAGGATTTGAAAGGGGGACTTGGACTCCTGTGTGTGGAGGAGTAACGGTATGGGAGAGGGACAGTGACATGTATGAAGAGGACGTCTCCGTCTATTCCTGGCCGTCCTTACAGGGCAGTGTAGTCTTCTTCCCCTCAAAGGAAGCAGGACTCAGCCAAGTAGAAGTTCCAACAGAGTGGATGGTGTTGCAGGGAATGGTTGTAACATTCCAGAAATTACAGCGCAATAGTTTAGGGGCTTGGGCCAGGAAAACATAGACCTGAGCCAAACGCAGATGATAAAGAATGGCCTCAACCAGTGTTGAGTGACTACTGATTAAGAGTATAAAGGAAGCAGGAGGCTGAGACTTGGGAGCAGTGGTCTTGGGCTGTTCTGACCTTGCTCCAATACTCCAAATGGTGATGTCATGGTGTGACCAGGTGTGGGATTATAGGTACCTATTAAAATACAGGTATGCGCTTTCCTATAAAGAGATATATTCTTTTTATGGTCAGAAAACAATATCCTTTTTAAAATCCTTTTCTTGGGCTGAGGTTGTAGCTCAGTAGCAGAGTGCTTGCCTAGCATGTGCAAGGCACTGGGTTCGATCCTTAGCACCACATACAAATAAAAATAAAGGCATTCTGTCCATCTACAACTACAAAAAAAAAATTTTAATAAAAGTCAAAATCCAGGCTGGGGATGTGGCTCAAGCGGTAGCGCGCTCGCCTGGCATGCGTGCGGCCCAGGTTCGATCCTCAGCACCACATACCAACAAAGATGTTGTGTCCACCGAGAACTAAAAAAAAAAAAAAAATAAATATTAAAATTCTCTCTCTCTCTCTCTCTCTCTCTCTCTCTCAAAAAAAAAAAAAAAACAAAACAAAAATCAAAATCCTTTTCTTTATTTCTTTTTCTGAGATGGGGTCTTGCTATGTTGTCCAGACTGGCCTTAAAGTTGCAGTCCTTCTACCTCAGTCTCCCAAATTGCTGGGATTATAGGCAACGCCAGGTCACCTAGCTAATGGGGAGATTATTTAATTTCTTCAGTTCTTCATTTGCTCATCTGTAAAATGCAGGGCTGGCCTCAGTGGCCTCCAGCATATGACTGCCTTCCTGCTCCACCTCCATGAGGTTCCTCTCTTCAGTGCACAGGTGGGAGCAGCAAACAAAGGACCAGGGGTAAATCAGCATCCACAGCAAAGATCATGACAGCACATTGCCAGTATTTGCCAATATGTTGTAAACAGAAATGGCACGTGGTAAAATGGAGGGAGCTCGTGGTGGTTTATGTGATGGGCAGTGTGCTGTTTGAGGATCTGTGGCAGGAGCCCAGGGGACCGCTGCTTCCTCTCCCCCCAGCAGGCCTTTCTCACCTGAGTGTAGGGGGCTGCTTCTGGAGGGCCAGGCATTTGCTCATGTACCCCTGGGGCAGGGTTCTCAGGTTGACTGTTCTTTGGAACCAATTGGGAGGCCTTTCAAAGTACCTGAGTCCAAGCCCCACCCAAACCCATCAGATCAAGTAAACCAAATATCTAGATCAAAGATGTCAATTTCTAAATACTAAAATAGGTACATCACATAGCTTTTTAACCATTACAAATAGTTTTCATTGGAAACTATTTCTGATTTGCCCTCTTTTCTTCAACTGCTTTAAAGTTCTCAAAATGCCTGGGCTTTTAAATCAGCTAATGCTTCTTCAGTACAGTTTAAAGAGGGTAAGGGGCCGACGCCGAAGCTTGGTGAGGGAGCGCTTGCCTGGTGTGTGCAAGGCCATGGGTTCCAGCCATAGCACTGCAAAAAAAAAAAAGTTATTTGAGAATATCCTTTAAAAAAAAGGAAAATACAAGTCATCTAAAGATGGTAAACATTATTCTTTTAATATGTCTCATAATTATATATTAGATATAGCTATAAAGGTAAATATTAACTTTCAGCTAACTTTTTAAACATCATTTTCATCTGAAATGACAAAGATTGAAAACTTCTATGATTCCATCTAAAGAGTGCTCGAAACATTAGATATTTTATATGTTTACCATAAAATATATAGTAAATCTAAATATTAGGCCAGCATGTGTTATAATTTCTACTCAAAAGAAGGTAACACGGGTGAGCATTTCCACTGTTTGGAGAGCACATTCTCTTACGACAACTAACCAGAGGACAGTGACACAGCGAAGGTTGAGTGGTGGAGACAGAAAGAACCTCCAAATTCATCTTGCAGATTTGGAAACTGAGGCCCCAAACACTCTGAACTTTTATCTCAGGAATACCATCATTTGTGGCAGTGTATTTCATGGCAGATAAACATAAGCACTCCCTCCACCCCAAGACATTCTGAGTTGTGTATATATATATAATGTTTTTAGCTTTTGAAGGATGCTTATAGTGACCCTCATGAATTGTGGTACTAGTCGGGCATGATGGCGCTCACCTGTAATCCCAGCAGCTCAGGAAACTGAGGCGGGAGGATCAGAGTTCAAAGCCAGCCTCAGCAAAAGCCAGGTGCTAAGCAACTCAGTGAGACCCTGTCTCTAAAGAAAATACAAAATAGGGCTGGGGATGTGGTTCAGTGGTCAAGTGCCCCTGAGTTCAGTCCCCAGTACCAAAAAAAAAAAAAAAAGTTGTACTACTCTTTCTGCATTACTATGAATTTTTTAAACATTTTACATTTTTAAGTCTCTTTTGGAAAACTGAAAAATCAGAAAATGGTTATATTGAACTATGGGCGTTCAAAGACAAAAGTCTCAGGCATTTGCAGGACTCAAATATTTGTAGGACTGTTCAGTAGCCATGATGGTAACTTCAAAGGCCCCTCCCAAAAGACTGATTCTCTGTGATTCTTACCCTAGGGCCTAAGTTACTGATCATGCTTACAAACTATAAGAAAGTTAGGAAGAATCCACCATGCCTAAAGATGGGACATCTACTTCTATCTACAAGAACCTAACAGACATGGAGAAAATTGGTGTGTGTGTGTGTGTGTGTGTGTGTGTCTGACTGAGAGACAGGTGGATCATTTTTGGTGGGAGATGGGCAGACTGCAGTGCAACTCTTCAGTTAATCTCACAAACCTTTAATTCCCAGCTGGGCAGCTACGCTGCGTCCAGCTTATGCTAGGAACTTTGAGTGCTTCACACCATAGTTGTACCCTCTCTGAGCTTAGCTCACCTATCTGGTTTTAGCAAGAAGGTGAATCCTAGGCTGGGATTGTGTCTCAGTGGCAGAGCGCTTGCCTGGCATGTGTAAGGCACTGGGTTCAATCCTCAGCACCACATAAAAATAAGTAAAGGTATTATGTCTATCTACAACTAAAAAATTAAAAAAAAAAAAAGGTGAATCCCTAAGATGATCAGAGAGACCAGGAGATTTCAGGGAAATACTCCCTTGTATTGTTCATTATTTTCATACTCCTCTCTATCCCTTGCTCTCCTTTCTTTAAAAAAAAAAAAGTCATAACTCACTGTATACAGTTAACCCCTCAATCACCTCTGTTCAAAGCACTTACACATGCACGCAGACTGAAAACCATAGAGAACCTCTCACTCCCTGTAGCCTTCTGGGTTCGCAGCCCAAAGGGAGCATTTGTGGCTGGAACTAACTGAAGGAGACCTGAGAAATCAGCTTACCAGAGCCAAGTCACCTTTAAAATCAGCATCGCTCCTGGGCCATAACAACAGCAGCTAGACAAAGGAAGAAATGGACAGTGGTCACATTTTGCACTGACAGCATAGACCCAAAGATTGTGGTGAGTAAATGACCGTCAGCAACCGGTGGCCTTCTGTTCCTGCCCAGTTACTGATCAGGATTCCAGAGTTTAGGTTTCTAAGTTGGAATGAAGCAGTAAGAGGTTGCTCTGTATGGTTTTATTTGTTTTTGAGAGAAGGAAAGCATACTAAATACCTGGATTCCTGAAGAATCCAACAACCCGAAGGCTTCCGTGTGTGGAGGAAAGTAGACTCTAGATATTTCAGGTCTGATTTCATGCAAAAGAAGAGGTCTGTGATTAGATGATGCTCTGGAACAAAAGAATATCTTTTCCTTGCCTATCACAGGGTTCACTGCCAGGTCACCTATAATAAGAGACAGATTAACAAGAGCAAAGCATAAGCATTTATTTTATATAAGTTTTACATGACCTGGGAGCCTTCATAAATGAAGGTCCAAAGAAATGGGAAACTGGATTTTACGCTTGGGTTTGATTCAGAACCAACAGTCATGCAGAAGCCTGGCTGGACAGAGGAGGGGGACTTACCAAGGCCTGTGTGTTCAGCTTCTCCTTGGTGTCTTTCATCACGAGGATGCTCCTTTCCTTGAGTTTAGGAAGGACCTCTGGAATGAAGGTTTTATGACCTGCTCCAGGGAGAAGGGGAAGGAGTGAAGACAGTGGCCTCCCTTTTCTGCTGTTCTGTCAAATGCCCAGGGCCTGTGTATGGGAGTAGCATATGCTGAATCCCATCCTTGGACAGGCTGGTTGCCATTATGTGGGAGTAGATTGACCCTTTTAGGGACCTGCCTCAGTGCCAAGAGATGCAAGTTCCCTGGGCTTTCCTTTTGTTTAGGCTCTGGGGACACCAGACCCACGTTGTGAATTCCATGTAGACTGGGAGTGGTTTTCTACATTACCTAAAATAGTACCTGGCACAGAAACATACTCAGTTAATAGTTCTTGAATGAATGAATTATAGGGAAAAAATGGAGAAAATTAGATCTTAATCATCATGGGATTGATTGGGTAAATAATGGAGCAGCCATCAACAGTACTCCACAGCCCTTCCCCATGCTTACGTAGATCAGGCCCTACACAGAGGCACCTACCTGTTGTTGATTGAAAAAGACAGGTGACAGATTGCATGTAGAATGTGATCCTGGCATTAGTCAAGAATTCTGGTAGCCAACCACAGAATCTTGTCTAAAGGAGTTTAAGCAGAAAACAAAAGTTTACCAAGCCCATAGGTGACCCACTGGTCTCCTAGAGTGCAAAGAGGGGGATCTGCAGGTCAATCAGGAGACTGGGAGCTGAGAGTGAGTTCTGCTCGCCTTAACCATGGGCTGGTTGTGAGGCTCCACATAAGTCTACCCTCTCTGTTCTTCAGACAGGTATGGTGGAAAACCTGCACTATCTACTCCTAGGGACTTCGAGGGCAGAGGGCACAGCTTCCAGCTCCCAGGGAGCCCTGTGATCCTGAGGGGGCGCAGAGGGAACCCCACAGCCTGCCCTGCCGCTAGCCAAGGTGTTTGGTGGGTTCAGGGTGTGAAGAGCACTTTTGACTTGTGACATTTTAAATCATGATGGGCTTATCAGAACGGAACCCCATGTAATCAAGGATTGTCTGTGTATTTCATTCCAAAGCCTCCCTCTGGCATTCACGCCATTGGTCCTCCTTCCTAACATCAGGGAGTGATAGGGTGAGTCATTCCTGTTCTTTTCCTCGAGGCTCACTGACCTTGTCACCGTCAGGAACAGGCCATTCTCATTCCTGGGCTATGTTGGAAGCTGCAAGGCTCAGCTTCTCCCCAAAAGTCTGCCCGGGCAGCAGTGTCCTTGTCACAAGGCTCACGCCTAAGTATCACATTGGAACTTCCCATGCTCCAGATTTTCATGCGTGGTTCAAGCAGTTACTGGGAATATATGAAAGGCCAGATTCAAAACCTTTCAACTTTCCTTACAATCCCACTTTTTTGTGTGTAGCCTCTTTCTATACTAAAAAGAAAATCCTGGGTTTTCGGGTCTGCACTTGATTAGAGGAAGACTAACCGGCCTTGTGATGTGACAGGCGGTTGACAGCCGATGGCACTAGGAGGACCTCAGGGTCCCGAGGCCAGGTGTGTGGCTAGGTGGAATGCCTTTGCCCTCTCCTGCACGTCCAGAGCCCTTTCCTGGCAGAACTGCCAGCCCAGGAGACTCTCATCTCCATCTTGCAGGAAGGCTGCAGCTTCGTTTTGATGTGCCGTTTCCGGAGGCCGCAGAGCGGCCGCACATCTGTTCCGCTACAGGGAACCTGGTGCCGGTACCAGGCGGGCTCTGGCAGGAGTTCTCGCTGCTGGGCGAGGCCTGGGCCTCGGAAGCCAAAACCCGGCATGATGCGGGGCGCTGGCCCACCGCATGGGAAATGAACCTGCTTGTTCTCACGTTAAACGCTTTATGAAAATTCACTGGGCGCAAAAGAGGGAAGAAAACCCAAGTGGTTGCGCAGTGCGCCTGGCTGGCACCGGCCAAGGAATGGGACTGCTGGGAAGGCGACGTGAAGAGCTGGCAACGGAAAGGTGGAAAACGCAAGGAGAACCAAATGCGGTGCCCACCGTGCATTGTTTTGTTAGCATTTGCTCAAGGGAAGCATTTAATTACGGGAGATCCGGTGCGCCCAGTGTTGGGGACTGGGTGGCATGGCAGGCTGTGCAGCCTTCTCCGCATACCTGACTTCAGCTGCCTCCCGCGCACTTGGTCCCAGAGTCCAGCCCTCTGCTGTCACCAAACCTCAGGCCTCAGGGGCTTCCCAACCTGCCTATTCAAAAATAAAGTGTCTTGAGGGCTCATTGCCCCCATCCTGTGTTTTTTTTTTTCTTTTCCTTGTTGATTTTTTAAAAAAGTAAAATCAATTAAGAACAGGATGGAAAAGTACTACCCTTCAAAACAACGAAAAATTTGCCAACGAAAAGAAATAAAGCCTTGGGCAGGGACTGAGGCTCAGTGGTAGAGCACTGACCTCACATGTGTGAGAGCCTGGGTTCTATCCTCAGCACCACATAAAAATAAATAAAATAAAGATATTGTGTCCATCTACAACTAAAAATATATATTTTAAAAAAGCCTTTTTAGTTACAATTTTCTTTGGGAAATAATTAGGAAGCAAGACAAGTCACAACAAATAAATAAAAATAAATGATCAGCTGCTACAAAATGAGAGTATTTTTGAGTCACAGCAATCAAAGTATACAAAGATGGACTTAACTGGTGATACTTTGCATGGAGAGTTTTTATTTATTTATTTGTTCTATTCACTTTTAGTTTTGAAGACTTGCCTACCTGAAAAACAGTTTTTGAGAATTGTGGTCCAGTCTCATGTACCTGCAAGACATGTTTCTTTTGTGTTTGATCTCTGCCACCACACATTACATTGCGTTACCTGATTTCTTCATTCCTGGCTGCCAGGAAGACTAATTAATGCACCAACGAATCTAAAGAATCCTGTTTAGGGAAGCTGCTAGGCCACACTGCGTCCACCTTCATCTGGAGACGAGAAGTCAAGGACTTGCTCCTGCAGCCAGCTCAAGTTAACATTAGCTTGGCTGGTGTCATTGCAAGACCTAGACACTTCCATCTGTGAATTTTTATAAGCTTCCACTTTAGGAGACAAGATTCTTTGTCAGCACCTTAGACAAGTGATGTTGGGGCAGCTGGCATAGACAGGGGTCTTTGCTGGCAATATGGTTTATAACCCACCTCCGCCAGCCTGCCGGGGAGTGGCCCACCTCATCTCCAAAACTTGCTACCTCCCAGGAAATGGATGTTTTCCTCCATAAAAATGAAGAAATCTTTTGCACTTTAAAAAATTGGTTGTCAAAATTTACATGAAGGGAACAATTTGGATTAGTTTCCAGCAACAAATTTCAAGTTGGCTTGAAAACTAGAGAAAGTCATCAGCCAAAACCTGTTGCAAGCATCACTCTAAAATCATTCAGGCCAGGGACAGGTGACTTGTCTGTTATCTGGTGCGCATATGGAGCCATGGAAAGACTGCCTCATTAAATTATGATCCCATCACTCTTGATTTACTCTTAAAAAGAATGAAAGGCCCCGGACCCTGCCCTGCGTGGGTGATCCACAGCACCTGCAGCAAATGGCCCATGATGAAGAAAGGGAGGTGCAGGGTCCTTTGATGACACTCTTCCCTTTTGCTTGTTTACTTTGATTCTCCCACGCAGACTGGGACCCAGCAGGAGGGCTTTTAAATTAAAACAGTTAATTACCTCCTCTAACCCAGAGAAGTCTGAAACATAAATACTGCAAGAGAGAGAGGGCAGCTTTGCTCTGGGCTGGACTTTATACCAGTAGGAGAAAGGAGCCACCTACTCCATCCTGGTCCTCAAGGGGCAGGGTGGAGGGAGATCAATTAGAAGGTACCTGCAAGGGAGGTGGGCCAGAGCGTGCACCCTGCAGTGGTGATTTGGTCTCTGTGTCAGTGTACTGGACTGTGAATCCCCAAGTCCAAACCCATGTTTGAATACCCATTCTAGAGACAAAAGCAGTAGCTCTTGGGCAGGTGGGATTGAGCAGGGACTTTTCCCCTGACTGGAAGATGGATCCTCCCCAGGTGCAGCCAGGGCACGGGGCAGCTTCTCACGAGGTTCCCTCCAGCTGAACTGCAAATTCACATCCTACCAGCACCATCACCCCTTCCTCCCTAGTGGAATGCAGCCTCAGCCCTGTGCTTCTAAATCATGACCTTGCCCTTGGACTCCCCTCTGCCTTTCTGACCATCCCCTGGCTTCAGCAAGGATGCTCCTCTGGCCGCATGTTCTGCCCTGGTGCTCCCATCTGCCTTTCTGTCCCTCACTGTTCCTGTCTATGCCCTTGGCCCATTTTTAGCCTCCTACTGGGTGCTGTCTCTCTCTATACCTGTTGAAATCTTGACAGAGCCAGCCCAGGCCATCGTCCTCTACATCCCAGCAGCCATTACGGTCCCCTGCCTCCAAGGCCCGGGCTGTAGGTCTGTTCTGCTGACTCAGCTGCTCTTCCACTTCTCACTCCGTGCGCCTTTCACTGCCAACCCCAAGGGGCTGGTGGACTCCTAGAGTTCCACAGGGAGCAGTTTATATATCTCTCCTGATGCCCCCACACCTGTCACCTGTCCCAGCACCTGGCAGAGTGGATAGCATTTGAATAATCCTTCTCCTCCTGACTAAAAATCTAACTATTCCAGCCCAGGGTCTTCAGGCAGAATCTGGGCACAGTGCACAGGAAGTTTTCTCTTCAGAATCACAAACATCCTTAAAGAAAAAGAGAAGCCCTCTTGATGCCTAGACATTTTCAAGGGTCTGGATGTCTTACCTTAAGTGAGCGACTGTGTTGTCATTTCCCCCTGGATCCTCCCCATCACGTAGAAATGACCAGTGGCCCCCGGAGAGAGTGTGCTAATGCACCCCATTCCTCCACTCACAGATTGTCCTGCGGGAGCAAATGTCCTGGCTCCCCGTGCCTCTGCCGCCCCACTAGAAACCAGAAATTATAACACTGCCTCACTAAGGGGCACCTGAGAACAACGGACGAGAGAAGGAAAATCATACAGGTTGGCAGAGCCACTTGCAGATGCCACGCTGCAGCCCAATCTGAGCATGGCGTTTGGTATTTGCTTGAGAAGGACAGCACGGGCCTTCCATACGTAGATACTTTGGCCTTTTAAAAAGGTGTGTGCACAGTATACCTCAAAGCCACACGACTGAGTCATAAATTCACCAGAATACCGAAAGCACAGGTAGCAGATCTCACCGCCAGCTCCACATGGCCCTCTGCGTTTGGGTTTGGGTTTGGGTTTGGGTTTGGGTTTGGGTTTGGGGCACCTCAGAGGCCCATGAGGATGTCGGTTCAGGGTCTCAGAGATCTCAAGTACTGCTGCACACTTGTGGAAAATCCTCCAGGAGGAGGTGGGGAACGTGGTGGGAGGTGGATGGGCCACGGCAGCGGGGAGGCCAATCGCAGCCAGGAGCTGTCAGGGCAAAGCCGAGTGAAGGCCAGTAGCGGTTAAGCCCCTTCTTTCCACTTGAGCTCTCTCCTTCCAGGGAATTTTCTTTTCTTTTCTTTTTTTTTTTTTTTTAAAGAGAGAGTGAGAGAGGAGGGAGAGAGAGAGAGAGAGAGAGAAAGAGAATTTTTAATATTTATTTTTTAGTTCTCGGCGGACACAACATCTTTGTTTGTATGTGGTGCTGAGGATTGAACCCGGGCCGCACGCATGCCAGGCGAGCGCGCTACCGCTGGAGCCACATCCCCAGCCCCTTCCAGGGAATTTTCATCGTTGAAAAATAAAGACCAAAAATATCACAATCCTCCTATCTCACATCATATGTAAAAATGTATACTCAAAATAAATCACAGACATACACGTTAGAGGTGAACCTATGAAACTCCTAGAGGAAGAGGAAGACATACACATAGATCTCTCTGAAATGGTCTCAACATGATAAATAATGCACAGGCACCAATAACAAAAAATGGACTTTAGCAAAATCGTAACATTTTTATTTCATAAAACACCATCAAGAAAGTTGAAAAGACAATATTTGCAAATGATTTGTCTAATAAAGACCTAATATCCAAAATATACAAAGACCTCTTTTTTGGTACTAGGGACACTTAACCACTGAGCCACATCCCCAACCCTTTTTATAGTTTATTTTGAGACAGAGTCTTCTTGAGTTGCCTAGGGCCTTGCTAAATTGCTGAGGCTGACCTTGAAGCCTAATCCTCCTGCCTCAGCCTCCCTAGCCCCTGAGATTATAGGCGTGCATCATCTCGCACAGTTTACAAAGAACTTTTATAACACAGCAACAAAAAGATAAACAACTCTATTCAAAAGCAAGCAAAAGAACTCAACAGACATTTCTCAAAAAAAGGCATACCGATACCAGTAAGTACTCAAAAAGTCCTTCAGACTGGGCTCAGTGGCATATACCTTAATCCTAACAGCTCAGGAGGCTGAAGCAGGAGGATTGTGAGTTCAAAAACAGTCTCAGCAACTAAGCAAGGTCCTAAGCAACTTAGTGAGATCCTGTCTCAAAATAAAAAAGTCTGGGGATGTGGCTCTAATACCCAACCCCCCCCCACAAAAAAGTCACTCAACATTATTAATCATTAAAGAAACATAAATCAAAACCACAAGGAAGGGCTGGGGTTGTGGCTCAGCAGTAGACCACTCACCTAGCACGTGCAAGACCCTGGGTTTGATCCTCAGCACCACGTAAAAATAAATAAATAAAATAAAGGTATTGTGACCAACTACAACTAAAAAAAAAAAATTATAAAAAAAAAAAACTACAAGGAAGTACCACATCACACCCACTAGGATTGCTATTATTTAAAAAAGAAAAACAAATAAACAAAACAGAAAATGATGAGTGTTGGTGACAATGTAGAAAAATCTGAACCATGGTGCATTGCTGGTGGGACTATAAAATGGCGCAGCTTCTATGGAAAACAGTTTGGCTGTTCCTCAAAAGCTAACTGTGAAATATGATGTATTAAGAACTGTGTAATGTTTTGAATGACCAACAATAAAAAAAAAAAAACGTGTGTAAAAAAAAAAAAAAAAACTAAATGTAAAATTACCGTACAGCACAGCATAACTCAAACCCACTCCTAGGTAGTTCTTTCTTTCAAAAGAACTGAAAAGAGACACTTGTATGAGAAACTTGTATGCCAATATTCACAGCAGTATCATTCTCAATGACTAGATGTGGAAACAGTCCACGTAGGCATGTACAGATGACTGGGTAAACAAAACATGCTATGTTATACAACAGAATAGTACTGAGCCATGAAAAGGAGTAAAATTTGGATACATTCATGGTACGACATGAATGAGCCTTATGACATTGTTACGAGCTGGGCCCACAGTGGCCCATACCTGTAATCTAAGCAATTTAGTAGGACCCTCAGAAACTTAGTGAGAACTTATCTCAAAATAAAAAGGGCTGGGGATGTGGTTCAATGGTAAAGTGCCCCTGAGTTCAATCCCCAGCACCAATAAAATAAGTAAACAACTTAATAACTAATAAAAATAAAATGGATAAGTAGGACTGAGTTGTGACTTAGTGGTAGAGCACTTGTCTAGTAGGTGTAAGGACCTGGGTTTGATCCGTAGCACTGAAAAAAGTTAAATTTAAAATGAAAGATTTTATGTTATATCTTTTACCACAATTTTTAAAACTAAGCAAAGGATTGATAGAGATTTCCCCGAAGAAGAATTAAAACGGCCACTAAGCACACAAAAAGGTTTTCACTGCTATCAGTCAACAGGGAAATGCAACTCAAAACCACGAGAGACCACTTCACACCTTCTAGGAGGGCCAGCTCAGGAACACAGATGGCAGCAAGGGGCGGTGAGGGCAGGGAGTACCGGAAGCTCAGAGGTACTGGTGGGAACATAAACTGTGCAGCCACTTTGGGGCGAGCTGACAGGGCTAAACCCGGAGTGAACACTGGACCCGGGAGTCACATTGTCTCTCAGATACACACCCAAGCGAAATGGCGACATATGTCCACTCAAAAACATGCACTAGAATAGCAGCAGCATTTCTCCTAACAGCCAAAAAATGGAAACAACCCAAATGTCCATTAACTGATGGTAGGGGAACAAAATGTGCTCTAATCACATGGTGGAACATTATTTGGCAGTAAAAAAGAAGTACTGATACATGGCAAAACATGGATGAACCTCGAAACACTATCCTAAGAGAAAGAATCCTGTCGCAGAAGAAAGAGTATGTAGGCATGGCTCCATTTATAAATTCCAAACCTATATATAGAGAGAGTACATGAGGGGACACTTTAAATGGGTAAATTATATGCCATGTGGCTTTTATCTCATTAAAACTGCTACAAAAAAAATCATAGACCTAAAAATTATCTTCCTCCCAATTTTTTTCTAAAACAACAAAAACAAAATAAATTTTAGGTTGTTGACCAGTCTTTAACTTTTTATTGTGCAAATATTTGAATATACACAAATGTAAAGACAATAGTGTAAAAAGTCCCCATATATTCATTAATCAGCTCTGAAAAAAATCAACATTTTAAAGGTATCTTTAACATTTTTTTCTCAAAGTTTATTACAAAAAATGTCATCCAGTGAGTCCCTGGGCCATATTTTCCCATGGTTTTGTTGGCCTGCTTTTTCTGTCTGCTTATCTGTCTGTCCTCCTATCTATCCATCAGTTCATTTTTTTTATTCATTTCAAAGTGAGCTGCAGACAGCAGGTCAGTTCCCCTTAACTACTTTGTGCTTGTCATTGAGTAAAAGGCTGATATTTGTTCTTAGTTCTCTTTGTACTTTTGAGGTGTGATTTATATTCTGTGAAATGCACAGATTTAAAGTCTGTCTTCCATGATTTTTGACAAATATGAAGGTTTGTGTAACTCAGGTGAAAGCCATTGTTCCAATGTCTTTTCAAAATATTTTTAAGCATTCAGAGGCCATGAAAATATATTATTTTCATAGATTTTTGTATCTTAGAGTTGTGTTGTGTAGGATTTCCTCTTTTTAGTTAAATCTCTGAGAGCCAGAAATTCCAATTACATACTATAAGCTTCCCATCCAGACACATCCTGAGCCTTCTCGGTCCTTCAAATGAAAGCTAAGTTTGTATTTTTACAATAAACCTGTGTTTTAATGTATTTTTCATGATTAACACATCAAAAATTTTGCTCTACCAAAATCCACATTTTCAGAGTAAACGGTGTCTGACATGTAGTAGTTGGTGGGAATCAATGCATGACACTTTAAACCACTTAACACATGGTATCTTCAATATTGTAGATTTCTTTTTTGGGAAACAGGCAATTCAAGATTTCTTTTTTGTGTAGGAAAAAAAAAACAGGGGGATAGACAGTTAACACACCACCTCACGTAAGGAGACACCCCACCAGGCTGCAAGAACCAGTGAGAATTCATTTCCCTTCTCTTCCTATGCAGTCACTACTACCTACTACAGTCCCTATGATCATTGTTGTAATTAATTTTGATGTTAGAAAGAAGAATCTAATATAACTTACTAGTGATGACCTGTTTTAGGTCACAGGCACTTCTGTTTTTTTAATATAAATGTATACAAGGAAAATCTATTAAAAAAGAGAGAGAGAGAGACCCCTCAAAGGAATAATTCACTCCATTTTTTTGTTTTAAAACAAACTTGACCTTGACATTTTCAACAAAATTTTCATAAAGATCCTGATACCGGGGCCTTCTACTTAAAATTTGGGTCACTCCATGCTGGTGACACCATTTTACAAATGGAAATGAGATAAGATGGGCAAATCCAGAAAAGAGGGAATTTGCTAGTGTTTCTGAATACATGACGTGATGCTTTTGCTGAGTGAAAGTAATAATCGTGTGTGTGTGTGTGTGTGTGTGTGTGTGTGTGTGTGTGTTTAACAATGGCTGTGCGTCTTCCTGGATTGGAAATACTCCCTATTTCTTAATTACCAAGTCCCCGGCCCCAGCTTTCTGGCTGCTCCTGTTGCATGCAGGGTCAGGCTTGTCTTTGTGGTTTCCTCTGGAAAGGGCTGTACATTAACATTCAAGTTTGGGGAGGAGAGTGGAAGTTGAAGGAAAAGGTGTTAATTCAGATGTTATGAAACTGCGATAATGCTATTATTTAAGGCACTTATTTGGGTGTGTTTGCTCTGTAGTTTTATAAATAAGCCCAAGAGGCTCCTTGGGAGTCTCGATCCTCCTTGAGTCCGGTATCCTGTCTGTCTCATCCTATCCGACAGTAGAAGTGATGCCGCTCTAATCCCTGCAAGTTCGGAACTAATGAACTGACTGCTGAGCTGCCGCCACGGAGCTTGGTCCCAAACTATACTGTACTTCACACTCGATTTATTCTCCAGATGGCGAGACTGTGCTGCCCTGCCGCGAGGGACCACCTCTTCCACTGGAGTGTAAAAGTGGACGGATGTTGTTTTCTTTGCAGATTTGGTCACTCTGAGCTGGAAACTTGCGAGGATGATTAGTTATTAGCTTTAATGGGTGCCAATGGAACCAACTGCCCGCAGATTTTCTCCTTTAATTTTGGAGCCTGTAGATCTCGGGGATGGTTGATTTATCTCTTTCTGACGTCACCAGAGCGTGTCTCCTCCCCAGGTGATAAGAATCCAGTCTCTGAAATCATAGCACGCCTTGGTTCCTGGCCCAGACACAGTCACATAATACGATGGCTTATGGATAAGGACAAGTTTATTAGCCCCTGGTCCACTGCACTGAGCAGCCCATGGCACGGAATATCGATTGACTGCGGGAACTTGGGGAACACCACTTTTTAGAACAGGGTCCTGCAGAGAATCCGATCTGTACCAACTTTCTCTGCAACCTCCGCAAGTGTGGGATCAAACATGCTTCAGAACACACCATGGCGATTAGTCCCTTCGAAGATCTGATGTAACCATTGGTAAAGGCCTTAGTTCCCTTATTTGGTCTTTTCCGGCTTGTCAGATCTTAGGGACACAGTTCATTCCACAGTGAGAACACTCCATCAGGGTGTCCCAGTGTGACACCTGAGTGCAATGCCTTTTAAACCTCATTGTGTACAACCTGAGTTGCTTCCAGGATCTAAGTTCCCCACCAAAGTTCTTTCTCAAGTGGCCTCTTTATTTAAATTTCCTTTTTCTTCTGTCCCCAGGAAGCCCTTCCCACCCCCAGTCCACCAGGCCACCCTGAGGGCACTCATCCACCTGCACAGATGGAGATGGAGGGGTGAACAGGGCAGGAGGAAAGTGTGAAGGGGACAGAGGGATGGAGATGAGAGAGACTGTGGCAAGAGGCAAGGTGTGTGTGTAGAGGGAGAGGGAAAGGGCAGAAGAGCAGAATTTCTTGTTTTTCACAACTGGGCCGACTGTAACTCCCTCTAACTAAACACCCAGCATTAAACTTGATTGTTCTTAGAAACTGCCTTCCTTTCAGCCCAACAGATGGCATGGGTGTGTTTTGCTAGCAGTAACATATTTCACCATTAAAATACCAAAAAGAAAAAAAAAATCAACATGCTTGTTGGTTGGTGTAAATTCAATGAAGTTGTTGGGTATTTTGGGATACATACCAGAGGGATGCATACTTAGTTTATGTAAATTGCAACAAGCAACAGCCTGTTAATAAGGGTGTTGTATGGCAATATACCTCAAAAGCCATCATCTCTTTTTGGAAAGGTACAGCGTGATGAAGTGGAAAGAGCTTGGTTTTTAATTCTGAGCCAAAAAAAAAAAAAAAAGAAACCAATAAAATGCTGAGTATTCACTGCTCATTATTATAACATGAAAAGTACTAATCAGATTATGCCTAAAGTTGGAGTTAGGGACTTCATTTGGAGCCAATTTCACAGAGGCTGAATTTTACTAAGTAAACCGGAATGTGCTGAAACCATGGCAATCTGACTTTAGATAAAAATCACAAACAGGTTTAGAACATGAGCTTTGAACAAACAGTCCCCTTCAAATCCAAATGAAACCACCCAACAGCTCCTCCAGGTCAGATTCAGTTTGACGCCAACATTAACAATTCAGGAAGTTGATGTTGCCAGGGATCCTGCAAAGTGGAGCACACATGCAGATTACAGGATGGAGAAGAGGACACAATGATTTTAAAATACATTTCGGCCTAAACAACCTAGTGAGTTCCCTTCAATTTTCCATTCACCGTCCTAAAGACCCTTTGCAAGGAGGCTGACTTGCTACTGAAAGAGAATCTAGAAGCTGGAAAATGTTTACAAACTGGAGCAATCCAGGGTCTGTAGCTGTCCGGGCTACATGGAGCATGGCGGTCTGGGTTCTCTGAGGCTATGGATCTAAAAGCCTGCACTGCCGTAGAATAGGAAGCATTTCTCCTGCAGCTCTAGGCATCCTTGTAACCATGATATCAAGCTAACTCTTGCAATGGGCCCCAATGTGTTTCCATATCTAGTTCATGGTGGAGCTGGAATTTTAATGTTGTGGAGTAGCCAAAGGCTATTTGATTTGGAACTGAACCATCATTGACTACCATCTCTCTAACTTTAGCTGACATGAGCTCTCTTGCTTTTGTCTAAACTTGGCCTAATTTTTGGCAGTCGAAGCTCTGTAAATCAGGACTTCACATAGCTGTCCTCAACTGGTCCTCAGCACTGTTTCCATCTGACCTGACAAACGCTAAGCTACTGTTTCCTCGCGCTGTTTAACTCAGACCACATTTGGAGCCTTCCTTGCTCCACTCTGTTGTAGAACCACATCCGTCTGGTTTAAATCTGTGTCCCAGCTTGTCTCGTTGATTGGACTTAGACTCCGAAGTGGCTTAAATAATTCTTTCTTGTCTCCGTTTTGCTATTTTCCTAGATAAGTACTGCTATTCAAATGGCTATATATTGTTAAGACTTTTTTTTTTCCTAAACCATATTCATCAGCAGTGAGAGGCTTTCAAGTTTTATTAGTATCATAAAAACCCTTCCCAAGTTAAACTACTTTTGGTAAGTGTTCATTCTGACAACGAGAATTTGTTGAGGGCTATTGGCAAGTTGGAAGAATTTGTTTTTGAAAACTGAAATTGGCAGGAAGTAATGACCCCAAGTGTTTTCTTTCTGTTGACACCAACCCCACCCCCAGCACCCCCAAGCCAAAGCCAATAAATAACATAATTGGTCTCATACCATTTTTCTTGGGTTAATTCAAATATTGAAGCAGAATTTTACCCTTTCACTTTTTCTTAACTGTGGAGCAAAGATTGTCAAATTCAGGGGGAATAAAACAAACTGTATTTGTCAAGCACTTCATGAAGGAATTTCTTGGTGATGTTTTTGCTTCCACCTAAATAAGTGTGAGCATTTCTTGTAGTATGAAGTGTCAGATTCCTGTGAGCACCTGCCTAATTGAATGTCAAGATGCAACTCAGTTGCAAAAAATAAAACAAGAAAGAGAAGTAAAAAAAAAAGCACACTATATGGGGATAAAGAAAAATAAACCATTTTTTCCCTAATGTGAATAGGCTGACAGATGAGACTGCCACAATCCAGATGTTGCCCAGTTTCTTATATTTATTAAATGAGAAAATGCAAGTAAAAGACTTAGAACCTAGGCCTAGTTAATGCTCCATCAATGAATAACTGCTTATTAGTTTTTTTATACCTTTCCAATTAGGAAGCAGCACCAATGAGCAAGATGAAGCTGACATTTAGAATACACTAGTATGAGTGATGGCAAGTACCCGATGAGTGACATCCTGTGAACGAAGTCTACCAACAGCTCAACTATCACAGTGGATAACTTATTTCACTTATTTCTTTGGTGGGCGGGCAATGTGTAGACCTGAGAAAGGTGCTCACACTGAATCCACGCAGCAGTATCACACCACACTCAGTTGTGTTCCCCTTAGAAATTAAACTAAAAAGGTAACTTTTTATTGACACAGAATGAAGCTCGACTGAGAATAGTAGAAACTCTTGAAGGCTTTGATCTGGGCCCAACAGAAAAGTGCGTGAGAATCAACTCGGTGTCTAGCGGTCTGGCCGAGGAGGACCTTGAGACCCTTCTGCAATCCCGGGTCCTTCCTTCCAGCCTGATGCTACCAAAGGTGGAGAGTCCTGAGGAAATCCAGTGGGTGAGTAGCCAGTGCTTTGCTTAAAACTTGAGACCATCTAAGAGAAGGGGTTTGGGTGCCACTGGTTTTGAGAAGGAGGAGTGAACACAAGCAGCCATCTCCTTCACCTGAGCGCCCGCCTTTGCCCAGAGTGTTCTTTGGAACAATTGTCCTTTAGAAACAATGCTTGGTTTCCTAATCGGATCTGTGGTTTGGACAGAACTGGCTCCTTGCTAGCCCTCCCAGAGCTATCCCTGGATGCCAGGTTGTCAGAGCACCACTCCTGCCACCACTGTGTAGGCCCGGAGCCTAGGCCTCAACCAGGAAGGGTCATGACATAAATGGCTCTTACCAAGTTGCGTTTGAAATCATCGAAGGCCTCCAGAGGACACCAGCCGCATATGAAAAAATGAACCCAACCTAGGGGAAGAAAAGGTCACTCCTTAGGGCAACTAGAGGAATAAACAGGAAGCTTTTAACTAGTGGTTTTAATTAGCACAGATATTATTTCCTGAACAGTTCTCTAGTGCGTCCTTTTTAAATTGCTGACAGGTGTGTTTGTGTTTCATGACAGACTTTTCAGCCAATAAAAACCTGAAATGTAAAGTGGTTGGCATGTCAAATTACTTAAGAAAACTTCAGAATGGGCCCAATTATACTATGATTGTTTTAATTGTGAGACAGACGGGGGACAGGGCTAGATTTTTTTCTGGGGTTGCCAGTATTGTGCAGGTCTCTGATGAATGAATGCTATTCCAATGTGCCAATCTGGGGCAGAGCCTGCCAGATGTGCTGGATGTTTGTTTGGTGGGCAAGTGAGCTGAGGGGGTTCAAAGCCACATCTAGTGTTGTCTGGAAGGTTATGGATGTAAGTATAGTGATCCAATGAGGAGCTCTGATACCTGATGAAGTGCTTCCTTTTTAATAATCTGAATGTTGGGTCCAATGCAGGGGCCACCTGCCAAGTGTGGCTATTGAGCACTTGAAATGTAGCCAGTGAAAATTGAGATATGCTGTAAGTATAAAATACACACTTCATTTTGAAGACCTGTACACCCCCCCCCAAGAGGGGGAGAGAATGTAAAATACCTCAATAATTTTCGTAACAATTGCACATCGAATTAACATTGGAATCTAGTGGGTACAATGTAAGGTATTATGAAAATCAACTTCACCTGTTTCATTTTACTCTTTGAATATGCCAACTAGAAAGTTTAAGACTGTACTTGTAGTTTCTGTCCTGATTCTGTTGGATGGTTCTGTCGGATTCTTCTTGAAGCTCCGTTGTCAAGGACCCGGATTTACTTGTTGAACTTGGAGTTCTCTCCAAGGGTATCTCAGAAGCAGTGCCCTCCGATTCCAGAGTGTTGGTATCCTGAGGGCTCTGGCCCCATTCAGATATGACTTAGGTTGATGCAGATGGACTCTGGAGTCACTCTTGGCCTTTGGTTTCATCCTTGATGCCTATTTATCACGGGCCTTACCTTTAATTTGAGGGGGGGCTCCACCCCAGCCTCTAGCTGCGGCCTGTTTGCTGATTCAGATGCTGGGTTGTGGGGAACCTGCTGCAGTTTAAATAGAACTTCTAGTTAACAGAAGTCTTTGGGGCTGTTTATTTTTTCCTCTCCGTTTGTATTTATGCGAAGCGTAAAGCCCAGAGCCTGATGCACAACTGAAAGATGGGCTTACTTGTTTTCTTTTGTGTGAGAATCTCTTGCTCGCCTTTTGTCGCTAGTGTGGGTTCTTGTTTGACTGGCACGGCTTATTGGACTATAACAAGCGTAACTCTGCCTCTTTTGTCGTGGGACAATTCTCCCACAAATCCCGAACAGTGTGCATTCTTCCAACACACTATTGGGTGTGCACTGGAATTGAAAGAATTGCTGAGCCCTGCTACTTCATCTCCTCCCCAATCTCTTTGTAATTTTTCCCCCTTCTTTTCCTACCCCCCTCCCCGGTCCCCTCCACCTCACTGAAATGAACACTTTACCAGGCCGGAAACATTTAATCGTCTCCTTTTGAAAAAATTAATTGAAACTTCTCCACTAGTTACCTTTTGTGTTAGTACTTAATGCAATTTTTTAAGAAGGAGAGGGAGGGGGAGGGGAGGCGGGGCTAGCATATTTAATTTTTAAATGCCCCTATTGGCTTAAAAACAAAAAAGCACCGCAGATTTTGCTCACTAAGAACAGGGACTCTTCTTGTAAAGGGTTTACCTAGTTGTAAACATTAAGGTTTTTGTAGTTCTAACGGTTATCACAAAGCACTGGGCAAATAGGAGTTCAAGTTTTCTTTTCGGAAGGAGAAAAGAAAATCTCCGGCTACCTACTGACCGTCCAGACCACTAACATTTCACTACCCATTTTCTAGCTTAATTGTGACATAAATCACGTTGTATTTTCCTTTGCACCGAGTGCCATGCATTTTGTCCCCTTGCAGAGCGTACTGCCTCTGGTCCCAGCCGATTCGGTCATTCCTTCCCTGCAAAGTTCCTAGGAGGTGATGCTGATGCTGTCTGAGGAAGGGAGGGCAGGGAGCGACGGGAATCATTCTTCATTACTGAAAGCTGTGATTTATTTTAGCCTAATTGTAAAGTTACTGCAAATTGCTCAAAAGCTTTTTAAAGATCCCAGTGATTAGATTTTTTTTAGGGGGGGGTGTGCACAGGCGAGGAGGGGGCAGCTAAAAGGGGAAATAACACCTCTAATCCCGCTTCTGGTAAATAGGCTGCCAGCTTTTAAAATGAGTTTCCTTTCTATTAGTCAGAATATTATGCTAAGCCTTAAGCATTAGTTTTTTTATGTTGCCATAGCAGCCTTATTCCTGCAGGGTGGTGACCTGTGATGATTACAGTACAAAGCTTATAGGGTCTTGAAACCCCCTTTGAAGATGAAAAGTCTTTGATGGTTTATATTTATGCAAATCTCTTAGATATGATTTACCCAACTGAGACTGAATGGAGAGATGATTAAAATTCCCTTTTCCTTTGATATCCATTAATGGCTGAATATTCCTTAAATTTAAAATGGATATATATGTTTTCATCTTTATTTACAAAAATATCTTTATCATACCTGGGTTTCTTTTTTTTATCTCCTCACATCTTATTAGATCTAGATAGACATAATAGATTTACAATTTAGATTGTGGGGTTTTTTTTCCCCCTTTTGAAAGGGGGGTGGGGGATCTGTGCGAGAGCTTTGTATGTTTCCAGATGATAGATTTTGGAATTTGGGCTACCCCACTGGCAGCGCAGAGCTGGCTGTGAACTGGTCTCATGGAAAAAATTGGCGAGCTTTGGTCTTCAAAGAATTAAACTTCCTTTTTAAGGTCTTCCTAGGTAAGCTAAAAAATTATGAAGAAACCCCTTCGGAACAAAGGGTAATGGTGCTGTAATGGACGGTGTGGACTCGGCGTAGAAGGCCGGGGAGCACTTACACTGATGTCAGTGCCCGGCAGAAACAGAAACAGACGTGCAGGTAGAGCAGGGCCATTGTTTTAAGGGCCTACCATTTGCATTTAACGCAGAGGGCGAGAGGTCTCCAGTAAATATGTTTTCAAGGGAAGCATTTAAACTGGGGATCTCGAACTCCTAGGCCTCAAGTTGCTCCAGGTGGGGGTGGGGTGGGGGGGCGGTGACGCTCGGGGACTTTGCTATTTAGTTTGGTGGGAACTTTGTTACCTTTTTTCTTTGGACTTTCCTTTTTTTAAAAAATTCTTTTATGTGGGTGAGGAGGCTGGGATATTACTCCCTCAGGTCAAAGATTTAAGTACTATTTCTATGTCTACATTGCAGTGATTGTTACTTCTGTTTTTACTTTATTTTATTTTTTACCACTAATCACCTGACACTTTTGATTTTAGTTTTCAGACAAATTTTCATTCCACTTAAAAGGCCGAAAACTTGAACAACCAATGAATTTAATCCCCTTTGTGGAAACTGCAATGGGTTTGCTCAATTTTAAGGTAAGAAAACCATAACGTGGTCACATAAGTTAGTGTTTATTTGTCACCTAAAGAGAACTTTTGTTTTCAATTTCAACATCTACTAACATTTTTTTAGAAAGATTTATAAGCAAGGTAAACCTTGAGCACTATTTATTTTCTTTATAGTTTAAAAACCAGGTTTTCAGCATCTTAGAAAACAAAGAAATTGGTTAAGTAGAAAGGAAAAGCTTCCCACTCCTAAATATTTCAATGAAATATGCACATGTTCCTAGTAATAATTTTAATTTAAAAAAATCACTGTATACTATATCTTGAATTGTTAACATTTATAGATTAAATATAAAATAAATGGGAATTTTACAATAAATGTATAAAATAAATGGAAAATCTATTTTGTCTCCTTAATGAATTAACTTTGAATTGTTCTTTTTCTATCAATAGCTTTCCATCGAAAAATTTTCTGGCCTCTTTGTAGCAGCATTATCCATAATATCTAGCAGATCAGACAACTATTGTTTTTAAGTTCAAGTACACAAATAATTTGTAGTCCGTTATTTCAATTTGTCACATTGAACATAAAATATTTTCTAATAACCACTTGGAGAGATTAGATGAGCCCGGGGTTTTCAGCCATCGAGTGACTGCTTTAAACTACCTGCCTGACCACATTCAGAGCCAGCTTGTGTTTTCCTTCTGTATCAGTGGGCATATATATTGTTTTCCAAAATATGCTTCCCATTCCACCTGACCTGTGAGCAGCAATCTAGCACCCCCTGCACCCCCTGCTCAGAGTTCCTAGCCCACCATTTTTTTCCTCCCCCCTCAGAGAGCAGGAGAAAGAAATCACCAAAAACAAAAGAAAAAGGTAGTTGACCTGAACTGGAGAGAGAATGTGTGAGCAAATGCTCACTTTGAGACCTTTGAGATTATGCAGGAGGGGCCCAGTGCAAACGTTTGGGGGCTATTTCAAGCCTTGTCTCCTGAGCAGCTCTTTTACACAAATAACCACAAATTCTCCCAGCTGCCCCAGAAGCCTCGGAATATAATCAAAAGCACATCCCTCAGATGCAACCAGATTCATACAGTGATTTAATTTTAAGCACTGTTTTGCCATTTTATTTCATAATGTACTTAGGAGCCCTTGCAACACCTGAAATTAATCATCAGTGTCCCCACTGGTTCCTCATTTCTTTCCCACCCCCATATATATATATTGGCAGGTTACATCTGCACCTTTCGGGATTCACAGTTATGTCTGCAACAAATGTTATTAATCTTGACTTTCATTTAGAAATGTCAGGGCTGCTTTATTAACACGTTGTGGCTGACTTGTTGCACTTTTATTTTCCCCTCTGAAGTTGTAGGTTTTGTATTGTTTGTCTTTAATCCTGAGACCATTTACTGGATTCTAATGCAAATAATCCAATTAGTTTGATTTTAAAAATTCCTTCCTTCTTTCCTGTGGCTTTATGTTTATTATTTAAGAGTCTCTTCAAGCAAAAACAAATTGGGGGAAAATATAACTAACTTAGCAGTAAAATCAAAAGTAGCTAACTCAAAGTTTCTCTAGAAAGTAGACAACCTAAAATTTGAACTATATTACCAGATTAATATATAACAATAGTATTTAATATCATCCACTAAGCAAAGTAACGATAAGCAGGATACTTATCTTGGGCAACATTAAATGACTTTTGGCTGCAGGGTCAGCCTGCCTTCAGGCAGACTGGGCTAGGAGCTGGGTCTTCCTGAGGTGCTCGGGCTCCTGTCTTATGCCTGCGCGTCTGTGAGAACTGGTTCTGTTCTGCTCTTTTCCAGGCAGTGTGTGAAGAAACACTCAGGATCGGACCTCAAGTGGGTCTTTTGCTAGATGCAGTTGTTTTTGGAGGAGAAGATTTTCGAGCCAGCATAGGTGGCAAACCCTTTCTCTCTTCCTCTGTGTGGTGCGCGTGTAAGGGAGAGTGTGTGTGTATATGGAATTTTTTCTTTGCCTTTCAAGAATGAGCATTTACATAACAATATATATTTACCAACCATGACAATGGCTTTTCATGACAATGGATAGACACCACTTCCTGATAATTTAGGGTTCCCCATAGCAGTCCTGCTTCAGAACAATACTTTACTACTCCTGCTCATTTATTAAAATAACTAATAAGAAGCCTGTTGCAGCCCCAGGCTCATTCAAGAATGGGGGCATCTACTTTTCTCCTAATAAATATGTTTTCAACCTCACGATTGCTTAAATATTTGGTCTTCACATGAGTCTGAGGGCTGCCGAAGTTTCCAAAACAAATTTAAGGCACTTTCACGTTGGTCGTAGTGAGCTGTTTTCTACATGAAATGTGGTATATAAATTTAACATAGTGCCTTAGTTTATCTTACATGTATTTCAGAACCCTTTTCATTTGATGTCTACTGAGATGCTACTGGTTTCCTCTGGTTTCCCCCTCCCTGGAGCACTCTGTTCTGGCCTGGGTGTGGGTGTAGCTCACTGGAGCCTAGGAGGGACAAGGCCGCAGAAAGTGCTTTTGGAACCACATCCCAGTGGCCTGGAGACACTTTCCCTGAGCAGTGAGTGTTGTGGTCCAAGTATAAACAGTGACACTCCCATCACCCTTCTAGGTGAAAACAGGAATTTATTTTAATACCAGTCTTTCCAGGAGACTCTTGTGTGGCCCACAGGTCAGTGGACTACAGAAGGCTAGGTGACACTTTCTGCCTGCCCCTAGGTACATGTCCTTGCTTTTCCCCAGTGTTCCATCCAGACCCTGCAGCTAAGGTACTTGGCTCAGTCTCTCGGCTGGGCCTGGGCATTGCAGCCCCTGCACGGTTGGGCCAACCCCAGCACAGGCCATCCTATGCCCAATGTGAGAAGTAAGTGTCCATGCCCAGCCTCCTGGCCACTTTTTGTGGCCTTATCTTTGGACTGACACTTTCGGAGCCATGACCAGAAGGAGAAAATCTATCAGGAGCCACTGTGGCCCCGATTCCACCTCCTGGCTGGGAGTGGCTCATCTTGGTGCTTGGCAGAGTGATTGTGTTGAAGGAAGCCTGCTAGTGAAGAGACACCTGGAGGCTTGGTGCTGCCTCCCTGTAGCTCTCTCTTGATTCATATTTGAATAATCATTTTGCTGGGAACATTCCCAGGGAGACATAGATTTCTTTACAAACTGAGTTTTTATAATAGAGGTCTGAGTTTGGTTTCCAAAGTTATGACCTCCCTTTTCTGTCCTCTTCCGGTTTTCAGGTGCAACAAGTAGTAAAGAAACCCAGGACATTCTCTACGCCCGACAAAAGATTGTCGTCGTAGCCAAGGCCTTTGGCCTACAAGCCATAGACTTGGTGTACATTGATTTTCGGGATGCAGACGGGCTTCTCAGACAGTCGAGAGAAGCAGCAGCCATGGGCTTCACTGGTATGATCCCTGATGGTATCTTAGAAAGCAGTGTCTAGATCAGCAAGCCTTCCAGAAAAACAGGAATGTAATCAGGAATCACATTTCTCGTGTCATCGTGCGTCTCACATACACATTCCACTGTTGGGGCATGGAAAAGCCAAGCAAAGTGACAACCCCCTGAGAAATTGTCATGCTTTTCTTTGGCTCTGCAAACCAAAAATCAAACCATTCATTCTTCTTTCCTCTTATATTTGTTACCATTTTTTTCCTGACCTCTTTAAATATTTTATATAGTTTTCTCTGACGGAAGGGCAAAGTGACAGAGTGTTTTTGAGTAAACTGCTGTAAGAATTTGAGTTGACGAAGAAATTTTTTCTAAAATGGTCACAATATTGAATTAATTCTGAAAAAATTGGTGATACTCTCTGTGGGTTGTTTGTTTGTTTGTTGTTTTAATTAGTTTTACATGACAGTACAATGTTCTTGACATATCATACATCCATGGAGTTTTTTATTGTTTTGTTTTTGGTACCAGGGATTGAACCCAGGGATGCTTAACCACTGAGCTACATCCCTGGCCCTTTTTATTTTTTATTTTGAGACAAAGTCTTGCTAAGTTGCTTAGGGCCTCACTAAGTTGCTGAGGCTAGCCTTGAACTTGCAATCCTCCTGTCTCAGCCTCCCAAGTTGTAGGGCTTACAGGCATGTGCCACCATGTCTGCATTTTCTGTGATTTAATTTTTACTTATAACTTGTTTTTTTGCTCTTCTGCCACTTCAAGCCCCTCCATCCCCTTCTACATCCCAATAAGTGTCTGTGTACTTGGTGACCCCTGTGGGTGTCAGCTGGCACTAAGATCAGTGAGTTCCTTAAGGCTACCTTGGGGTATAGGTGGACATTGACAATTGGTGTACCAAATCACTAAAATACCCATGAACTTGGGGATCAGCCCAAAATTATGTTTTTGCAACAGAAATGTATTTTTTGAAAAATCACAATAGAATCCTATGCATAAACACATGTGTGCAGTGGACACATGCAAACACACACACACACACACACACACACACACACACACACACAGGCAACCAAGGGGAAAACATGATACATTCTTTTATTCTTATTTGTTCTCATACTGCAAGTTCTACGAATGTTAATACTAGAAACGTACCTGAATAATAAGGAAAAGAGACAAGCATTTTGGAATTATATGTATTATGTTAGGGGCTACTGAAACGCTTCTGAAAGTGCCCTTAAATATAAAAGATGTCTTAATAGATGATGATTTAACCTGAAGTAAAATTGAAAGACTTACAAAGCCATAGTATAGTTACGTTAGAATTAAATAAGCTCTGACGTTTTGTGTTTTTACCGTAAAGAACTAAAATAAACATGAGCCCCCAGTTTTTTAATTAAAAAATATGATCCCTTATAGAGAAACGTTTCTCAATTATGTGAGCTATTATTCATGAATCTTCCCTACATTTCCTAGTGATTGAGAAAGAGGGGCGTCCCTGTGCCATGTCCACGGGGCTGTGCTCGGTCCTGCCTCTTTTCAGTGACTGGTTAGGATGTAGCCCAAATGCAGAAGTTGGAGAAAAGCTCCATGCAATCTATCTAATAGACCCAATGTTGTTGGCCGTGGATGTGTGGCATCGGCTGCCAGGCAGCCAGATGTGGCTCTGAAATGGGAACTAATTCATTGAAAAGAGAGCGAGCCCTGGTCTCTGTCAGCAGCCCTCCTTGCATCCTGGGTTTCCTTAGCTTCCTCTGGGGTCATGTTTGCCCCAGAGCTCCTAAGGGAGCTCCAGAGGTCCTCCAGGATGCAGGGCTAAATTAAATTGGTTCCCAATTCAGTCGCAGAAGACAGACCACTTCAAATCAGGCTTAAATTTCTAGACGGTGCCCAACTCAGCACGAGGAACTTATGAACCTGGCACTGTTGTTTCTCCACGACGGGGAGTAGTAAATCACAGCGAGACAGAGAAACGGAGGCGGGAGAACAGGGAGGAACCAAGGGCACAGTGCCCACCGCTATTCCAATGACCGAGGCAGCAGACTGGGGGCGGGGGAGGGGGGGGCACACGCCATGGCCATTTTGCAATTTTCAGAGAGAGAAGGTCTTTGTTGCCCGATTATATTTCTACATACTAATAAATGGTAATTAAAAGCATGAGATGATTTGAAGTAATTTTAAAAAAAAAGAAAAAAAAAGCTTCTACTAAGTACTTTAGACTTCTCATGATCCCATGATCTGTTAGCACGAATTGTTTGGCATTTAATTGCCACACCTTGGGCCTTGCCCAAGAAGGGAGGAGAGGCAGGGAGGGAGAAAGAGGAAGTGTTGTGCCCACCTTCTGAAATACCCATCTGAAGCAGGTGGACGAAAGGCTTAAAGTCATATGGAAACACTGTTATCCATAACACTGAGAAGGAAGACTGAGTCTGGGCTGTAAGAATTATGTCCGTGAATATGTGCAACACGTACACAGGTACCTGCACACACACATATGTTAATGAAGTCATTTTTTAAAGTTAGTCATATACTAAATACTGGGCTATAGTTTGTTTTCTGTGGTGTTGTTTCATGGGGTCACAATCTATTTGGATAGATTTTAAATTAATACATTGGCTGTATAATAGCTGTTAACATTAGGGTTTTTTTAAATAAAAAGACACCCAAATAAAAATATTAGAATAAAGCTTTACTAACTGACTTGGTCACTGCAGTTACTCCAGTACTACATGCTGAGAAGAAAGATTATAAATATGAAGCACTATAGGTTTTCCTCTTTTTTGCAGTCTTTTGTAGAAGACAAAAATGACACCATCATACAGTTACCTAAAAGACTTGACAGGTATTGATTTAAAGCAAGATATATCAAGTGGTACTGTAAAAAGGATTTCATGGTCATAAATTTTAATGTCGTCCAATTTTGTACCCTCTCAGTAACTTGCCAATAACAACTCTTCTGGATAAAATATTTGCCTTGTTCTCACATTAAAGCCTGTTAGACAGTTGTTGGAATATGTACCATGCAACAGAGAACTTCACATGTGAATGTACATGGATTTCTAAAATCTCACATGCATCTTAAAATTATCCTCATTATCAAAATACAGGTACTTGAGTGCCATCAGTAATTTCATAATATTTTAAGTAGTTTATGCTTGCTTCTCAAATCATAGTGCCTGACTCAGAAGTTGCCATGAAATCTAGTTTTTTACACATCAATGTAAATTATGTCTATAAATTATGAAATTCAGGGCTAACAATTAGTAGGAAATAACCACAGAACTGACATCTTTTATTAATAATATTACAACAGCAATTAGATTACTTAAATATAATTTCAACACCTACTATTGAAAAGATGTTTCGTTTATCATTCATGTTATATTTCTAGAAATTATTGTTCAAATAATTTAAAGCATCTTTATTTACATGTGTTTAATGTTTATAGTATTTTTTATATTTTTATTATTTTTTTATACTATTTATTTTATAGTATAAAACAGATAAGAATGAAATAGCAAGGTGAGGCTGTTTTAATTATGCTGTGATAAAGAAAACTATTGTTTTATCTGTCCACTTAAACCTCTTTTCATGAAACACTAAAAATATATATTTTTTACATTGTTCCTTTTTCTGTTCAACAAATGACAACACTAACAGAAATTTGGCATTTTATAAAACATCCAGGGTATAATCTGTACTGGCAAAACATTAATAAAACAACTATTCAAAAGCAAAGCAAATTATTATGCTAACAAATAGACTGAGCAGAGTAACCAGAGTAAATGACCATTAAATGTACATTCACTTTTAAGGAGGCATATTGTGTCTATAACTTTATCATGTAATATAATATAATCTCATCGTTATATAACATTAAATTGCATTTTATTAATCATCTGATTAGACTCCACACTTCCTGATTTTTAATTTATTTTTTAATGACAACACTATTTCATAGAATCCTTTGACTCATATTATATTTGTATTTATGTTTTTATTAAAATCCTTAAATTTCAAAAAGAGTTCTAAGTACCTTTGAAGACATTTCTACAGAGGTAGGGTTTCTTTTGGGGGTATGAAAGGTGCTTTAAGGGGAAAGTAGCCAATTTCCATTCCATAAGCAAAAAGGGGAAAATATGGATTTTTTTTTTTTTGGATAGAGAAGTTTTCTGAAATTTTTCTTTTCTAAAAGATTTAAATAGAATAGTCTAGAGTCTACAGTGCTCAAAGCTGCCTTCTATTTTGCTGTACTGAATATACTATTTTCATTGAAATCCAATTTTCTACTAAGGGTTAGAAATGACACATGTTCATCCTAGAGAAAGAAAATTAAACATGTCAATGTAAGACAGTATTAGATAGTAATATAGTTGTAATCTCTGCTCTGTAAGCTTTATGAAAACCCATATACCACTTCTACAAGAAATCATGGAAGTGGTATAATCCTACAAAATAAGTAAAAGATAATTTCTAAAATTCGAGGGAATTTCTATGTAATTTCATTCTACTTTAATTCAAAATTAGGACTCTAATTTGGAGACATTATCGTTTAAAGTGCCAGGCAAAGCAGTTATTCACGAGCTGCCTCAGTCCACCTGTAAGTAAAAATGAGAGATTATCTGCACCGAGGAGGCATTTCTATAGGACCCGGAGCACAATTACTTCCATTGTTGTGTTTGTTCTTATGTGGGATTCTGGAAAAGCCTGCCTGATTGCAGGTTTTTTTTTTTTTTTTTTTTTTCCTTCAGTAAAAGTTCTAAATTAGTTATTTAGCATCCAGTCTATGAAGCATTCAGGAACCTCTTGTGGTGGAAACATTTTGTTGGAACATTTGTCTGTTGAGCTTCCGATGTTATTCATCTCCTCGTAGGTAAGCAGGTGATCCACCCTAACCAAATTGCCGTGGTCCAGGAGCAGTTTACCCCTTCCCCAGGAAAAATCCAGTGGGCTGAAGAACTGATCGCTGCCTTTAAAGCACATCAGCAGTTAGGAAAGGTAAATGTTTTTCTAATGTCTTGGGTGAAACTGGTGTTGAAAATACCATGGGGAAGAATGAGAAAAAAAGAAAGAAAGAAGTATTGTTTGAATGGTTTTAAGGAAACACATTGTACTGGGGATGGTGGTGAAGGCTGGAACAGAAACAGGATTCAGTAGTGAGAGTGTTGCTAAAGGTAGATTTGCCCTTCCTCGTCCCTAAATATCTTACCAACTGGCTCTCAGGTCTCTCCTTTTATTCTTTTCATAAAATATATTGGCAGCCTTAGAGAAAATAGAAGTCTGTTTAGTTTTTCCTCTGTTGATTTCAATGCAGCATTCATATGAAAATAATTTTAGATCAAAGTGAGAGCAAGTTGTAATGAAATAAACACAGTTTGACCAAATGGTTCTTGTGGAGAAAAGAAATAAATTTCAAGTTATTTTAATTTGGGGGGGGGGAGTACAAAAATCTCCCCCGGTTTAGTCATTTAAGAGTGGGAGGTTGTATATGTGTTTGTACCAATTTCTGGACCTGAGATTTGGATAGAATAGAAAGCAAATTAACACTGGAGTACGGTTGTTCCTAATTTAGTGCATCATTGAGTCTCGCGTTTCCTGCTCTGTGGGTTTCTGCTATGTAAATATTGCAATGGTGATGCACAATCTGTCTCCACTTTGTGCCAGTAACACTTAAATTAGGTGTCGCCTGAAGGAAGATTTTATGCTAGTTGCAGCATTGTCAGTTAATTATCTTAAAGGTTATTTGCAATAATACCGTTTGCCTCTTTTTAAGAGGCTAGGAAGGAAAGTTGCATTTATAAATCTATCCTAGAGGTAATCTCTAAAACTCAGCCTTCTGACTTCCATAAGGAATGAAGTTTTAGTGTCTTTGATGAAAAATTACTTAGGAGAGAAAGAATATTAAAAAATTATTGAAGTTCGAAATGTTAAACATTTGCTATTGCAAAATAAATAAAGAAGAAAAAACTGGCTTTCGGTGTTGAACCTGTGACATTCACGTGAGAAGTCTCCCTTACACTTTCACTGGTAAAAGGAACACCTGAAAAATCCCAGGACTTGCAAAAGTGGGTAACAATATTAAATAGGTCATTCCCTGTGGATTTCTGACTTCACCCTTGACCATGCATGCGTGCTCACACTTATACACACACACACACCACAGGTTCATCTTTGCACAAACTCACACTTAATATCCAAAGGCAGGGCTGAGGATGTACCTTAGTGATAGAGTGCTTGCCTACCTAGTATGTGCAAGGCTCTGGGTTCAAGCCTCAGCACCACAAAAAAATAAAATTAAATTAAAATTTTTTTAAAAATCCAAAGGCAGAAGTCAGAATATGTCACATTGAATACAGTCAATTTGGACATACATCAATTTCATGATAAATAGTTTCCTTTCATTTCACATTGACAATAACCAGCAAAAAGACAATGCATTTCACAGAAAAATATTTTAAAATTGACATTGTATTTTATGTCCATTTCTATATCTTAGCCCAAAGCAAGATCCTTCACAAATAAACATAGATATTTACCCAGAGAGAAGAGCCATGGACTGTTTCATTCGTATATGCAAACAACTCCATGCATTTTCTCTCTCACATACCTGCCTACACACACACACACACACACACATATACCCCTCTCCCTCTGCTCTGGACCTTATGCCAGCTACAGTGTGCACGGATAAACCCTTTCTCCTGAAGTAGTAAACTGAGGCAGCACGGCGTGTGCTGCTTGGAGGCAGGCAGCAGACTGGCAGCGTGGGCTGACACTGCCTCAGTGAACCATCCCAACTAGGTTTCATGTTGGAGTCCACTTGGCCTTGTGAGCAACTGGGCTGTGGAAGGGGCCACCCTAAATTTCACCAGCCAGCAAACAAGGGTCAAATCAGAACCATTCTTTTCTTGGCATTTAAGTTCTTCAGTGAAGAAAATCACCCTTTCCCATTGTACATTGAAAATGCTGCCAGGGGAAATTGTCCCCCAGTTGTCATGCCTTTTGATGATGGCAACTTAAATATAACTTCTGAGCTGTTTTGTTTTTTAAATAAGAGATGTCTCTGTTGGGGCATGGGCTTTCACAACAGTGCGGCAGGATGGCTTTTCTTAACACAGTACTGCAGAAATTGGAGAGGACAGACCAACCATTAGGTCATTTCTTCCCTGCCCCATTCGCTGAGGCTTGTTTCTTACAGCAAATTCTCCTGGTGCTTTGTCCAGCAAGGTTTCAATGACTGGTGTAATGGGGCTTCCAGTAGGGACACATGGCTATTTTATCCAGTTAGCATGTTTCTTTCACTTTGCCTGTAAACTTGCTGGTCAAAAAAATTGGGACTGCAGGTAGGTGACTCTGGGTCTTGAGAGGTTCTTGGGGTTTAAATAGTGTGGGTTCTGTTTGCAAAGATTTCACATAAATAGGTCGCTCAGTTGTGGAGATATCGCCTCCAACAAATATCTAATCTGTTCTATTTCAAATGTGAGTCGCTGATGGCAACGTGAACCCTCGGATACTTTGTCCAAAGCACAGATGACTCTCAAAGATGGGAAACTGATGGCCCTTGTCCCAGTAAGACACTCAAACTCCTAAGAGTCCTTTTCCTCTCTGGTGAAAATCTCATTCGAGTAGTGTTTTTAGGTAGAAAGGACCCAAGAAGGCAAGAGTGTAATTTTCACTGTAGCCCACTTCTTCCTGCTCCCATCTTAAATTATATTTCTAAATACCCAAGGCATAGCTGGAGCTCACAGCTAATGCTGGGTCACTTGTGTTTTCTGCAGTAAAAATAATAATCATTATCATTATTATTTGTCAAAAATAAAAGTCCTGCTTTTTCTTACTAACCTTTCGAAATTTCACAGGAATACTTAGGGGGCAAGCAGATAAATCTTTGATATCATAGAATTTTATTTTAATTAGAAGTTCAGTGTAATGTCATTTGAAAAACATTTTATGTTCAAAAAGTAATGATAATCAGATCATTTAATCTAGTACTGTCTGTCAGAGACTGATACTTGGAACTGTGTTGTTTAAAAACTCAAAAAATATTTTTTGGGCTAAAGAGTCTTGCTTGGCACAAGGCTCCCTGTGAGTAAGAATGGGGGTAACAGATTGATACTGGGGACTCCAGGCTATCTTCTCTTACTAAAATGGTTCAGAAAAAGTTTGAACATTCTACATAGTCTAGCCCCCATCTTAATTTCCAGAAATTAAGATTTTTAATTTAACTGACATCAGTTGTGAGATATTCCTCTACAATATTAGTCAAACTATGGGGCTCAGTGGCAAAGTGCGCCTCACATGTGTGAGGCACTGGGTTCGATCCTCAGCACCACATAAAAATAAATAAGATAAAAGTATGTGTCCGCCTACAACTAAAAAAATTTTTTTTAAATATATTAATCAAACTAATTCTTTTTCCAGAAAAAAAATGCATTTTGAGATAAAATCTATATGTCATAATTATTTTAGCTTCAAACTATTTGGTAAAATAATTTAGCCTCAATAAACATCTATGTGATTTGCTTTAAGTTTATAAAGGATTTTCTTAAAAAATTGATTCCATTTTTTATGTTATTTTTCCATAATGTAATTTCAACAATATTTGAAAATTCTCCCTTCAGAACTGAATTTAGTATTCACTTACTAAAGAAATAGGATTATAGCAGTTCTTTTTTATCAACTAGGAATTTTATATAATATGAAAATTGGACAATGAAAATGAAAACTTCTCAAGGAAATCATTAGTTAATATTGATAAATAAAAAGTAGAATTTATATAGAAAAATACAAATATTAATAAAGTATCTATATATTCAAGTATGTTTGATACTATGTTTTTTTATTTCTATATTAAGATATTAAGATTTATTCTTTCCTTATTCCTAACTTATTAAAATTCAAGTATG